CGCTAGCTTTAGCAGCTGCATTTGAATAAATGTTTCAAACATGGCATATTCCAAAAGATAGGGTACATGTGATACTAAGAGACAATGCCAGCACGAGGTGGAACAGCACCTATTATATGCTCCGCAGCCTCTTGGAGCAAAAACGAGCTTTGGGCGTTTATGCTGCTGACTTTGAGCTACCTGCTACCTTTACATCTTCCCAGTGGGACCTGATTGAAAGCACAACACTACTCCTGGAACCCTTTGAAGAGCTGACTAAAGAAATATGCTCATCAACTGCATCTGCTGCTGATGTCATACCCTCTGTGCTGGTTTTAAAGCGCCTACTTGCCAAAGATGCTGCAGCAGATCATGGTGTGAAGACAACTAAGGCCACATCGCTGGAAGCTGTCTCCAAAAGATTTGCTGATATCAAAAAGGAACCTCTCTACAGTTTGGCCACCATCATAGACCCAAGGTGAGAAAATTATAAAATAAATAATGCTGAAATGTAAGCATTTACTTATCCATAGTTAATTATTTTGTTTTCAAGTTGCCAGAAACTACAAGTTTAATAAGAAATGAATGTGATGTCCCCCCACCCCTATTCTAGGTACAAAGACAAATTCTACTCTGAAGACGCAGTCAAGATCGAGACACACAGACAGCTTCTTCGTCTGATCACAAAGGCGTCTCAGAGGGACCCAAACCAAGAAGCTGAAGCCAGCAACACAGGACCACCAGCAGAGAAAGTGCCACGACCAGGATCCTTTTCTTCCATGTTTGGTGAAATCCTGGCAGAAGAAACCCCACGGCAGGCTCACACTGACACTCCAGCAGGACCAGCACCATCAGAGATGATTGTCTATCTCTCAGAGCCACCCATCCCTCGGAGTGCATCACCTTTGGCATTCTGGAAAACTAATGAGAGATTTCCAGACCTTGCTAAAGTAGCTCGAGCCTACCTGTCTGCACCCTGCACAAGTGTAGAGAGTGAGCGATTATTCAGTGCTGCATCCAACATTGTAGGTGAACACAGGAATCGACTCATGATTGAAAAAGCAGAGATGCTCCTCTTTATTAAAAAGAATCTTCCCATGATGCTTCTCAACAAGTCAAACACGTCATAAATATTTAGCATACACAAATGCTGTTTAACACGTTTCCCTGTTTAAAGCAGTTGCACTTTAAGTTGTGCCAGTTTTCTGTTTCAGGGTCTTTAGGACCATATGTATGTTGTTCGAGTGACAAATGGGCTATTTTATTTACCTTGTGAAACAGTCATATTTATTTTATACTTTATAAGAAAGTGACAAATGTGCTATTTTTTTTACCAGTACCTTGAGAAACAGAGTCATGCTTATTTTATACATTATAAGAATGGTAAGCACTTTCATTTTTGGTATAACAATAAACAGAGTTTGATAATTCATGGCCTCAGGTATTTTTGATTTTTTAAGTTATAGTTAATAGAATACAAGCTCCATTTGAATCTGAATGTATCCTTGGTTACTTAATTTGATTTAGGCGGTGATGTGAGATATTGACTTTTTTTGCACTATTTGTAGCCTAAAGAGAGCCTTAATGTTTTCAATTTCTTATAAATTGTTTACTGATATTACATAATTTGACATGAAGTAAAACCATGTTTTTTCTGAATTAATATGTAACGCATGCATTAGAACTCACCATAGCTAAATGAACAATTTACAGCCAATCTATGTAATTGGTATCGGTAATCGGCTGATCGGCCATGATCGGCCTCTTGGCTGATCGGTATCAGTGATCGGCAGATTAAAACCTGATCGGAGCATCCCTGTCCACAGCCTCAAACAGTCAGACTCCAAACTCCACTATGGCCAAGACCAAAGAGCTTTCGAAGGACACCAGGAAAAGAATTGTAGACCTGCACCAGACTGGGAAGAGTGAATCTACAATAGGCAAGCAGCTTGGTGTGAAAAAATCGACAGTGGGAGCAATTATCAGAAAATGGAAGACATACAAGACCACTGATAATCTCCCTCGATCTGGGGCTCCACGCAAGATCTCATCCTGTGGGGTCAAAATGATCATGAGAACAGTGAGTATGAATCCCAGAACCACACGGGGGGACCTGGTGAATGACCTGCAGAGAGCTGGGACCACAGTAACAAATGTCACCATCAGTAACACACTACAACGGCAGGGAATCAAATCCTGCAGTGCCAGACGTGTTCCGCTGCTGAAGCCAGTGTATGTCCAGGCTCGTCTGAAGTTTGCCAGAGAGCACATGGATGATACAGCAGAGGGTTGGGAGAATGTCATGTGGTCAGATGAAACCAAAGTAGAACTTTTTGGTATAAACTCAACTCGTCGTGTTTGGAGGAAGAGGAATACTGAGTGGCATCCCAAGAACACCGTACCTACTGTGAAGCATGGGGGTGGGAACATCATGCTTTGGGGCTGTTTTTCTGCTAAGGGGACAGGACGACTGATCCGTGTTAAGGACAGAATGAATGGGGCCATGTATCTTGAGATTCTGAGCCAAAACCTCCTTCCATCAGTGAGAGCTTTGAAGATGAAACGTGGCTGGGTCTTCCAACACGACAATGATCCCAAACACACCGCCCGGGCAACAAAGGAGTGGCTCCGTAAGAAGCATTTGAAAGTCCTGGAGTGGCCTAGCCAGTCTCCAGACCTCAACCCCATAGAAAATCTGTGGAGGGAGTTGAAAGTCCGTGTTGCTCAGCGACAGCCCCAAAACGTCACTGCTCTCGAGAAGATCTGCATGGAGGAATGGGCCAAAATACCAGCTACTGTGTGTGCAAACCTGGTAAAGACCTATAGTAATCATTTGACCTCTGTTATTGCCTACAAAGGTTATGTTACAAAGTATTGAGTTGAAGTTTTGTTATTGACCAAATACTTATTTTCCACCCTGATTTACAAATAAATTCTTTAAAAATCCTACCATGTGAATTCATGGATTCTTTTTCACATTCTGTCTCTCACAGTTGAAGTGTACCTATGATGAAAATGATTGACTTCTGTCATCATTTTAAGTGGGAGAACTTGCACAATCAGTGGCTGACTAAATACTTTTTTGCCCCACTGTAATTGCTCCCACAGTTGATTTTTTCACACCAAGCTGCTTGCCTATTGTAGATTCACTCTTCCCAGTCTGGTGCAGGTCTACAATTCTTTTCCTGGTGTCCTTCCAAAGCTCTTTGGTCTTGGCCATAGTGGAGTTTGGAGTCTGACTGTTTGAGGCTGTGGACAGGTGTCTTTTATACAGATAATGAGTTCAAACAGGTGCCATTAATACAGGTAACGAGTGGAGGACAGAAAAACTTCTTAAAGAAGACGTTACAGGTCTGTGAGAGCCAGAGATTTTCCTTGTTTGAAGTGACCAAATACTTGTTTTCCACCCTGATTTTCAAATAAATTCTTTAAAAATCCTGCCATGTGAATTCATGGATTTTTTTTCACATTCTGTCTCTCACAGTTGAAGTGTACCTATGATGAAAATTACTGACCTCTGTCATCATTTTAAGTGGGAGAACTTGCACAATCGGTGGCTGACTAAATACTTTTTTGCCCCACTGTACATGTAAATCTGTTATTTGTCCATCCATCCATTTTCATTCGCTTATCTGGAGTCGGGTTACGGGGGCAGTAGCGTCGTCGAGAGGCCCAGACTTCCCTCTCCCCAGCCACTTGGGCCAGCTCCTCCAGGGAAATCCCAAGGGGTTCCCCGGCCAGGTTCGGTAAGAAGTCCGCTCCGACAGCTTCTGGAGTTTTTAAAAAGTACCCCAGGGGCACGGTAAGGGTCAGAGATGTTTAGTCTATTTAATTTCTGACTATATAAAACGATTTCTTCAGTTTTAAAGTGTGAAGTAAACTCTGACGAAGTAAAATCCAAGCCGTTCCCATTCAATTTGTTTACATTTGTTGCCTGCCAACATGGCGTCTACTCTCTGAGAGTCACGTGACGTCCGAAGCTCTATGGTCTTTGTTTGTGTGCTGAGTTTGAGTGAAGATCCTATTATAACCCTGACACATTCTGGTGTAACGGAATAGAAGTGATGTAACTATCTAGAGTTGTATTTTAATACACTGTAAGTAGATCACTTTTTATAAACAGAAGAATAGGCTGTTTTTATCATCAGGGAGTTTAATTAAACACTCTGTATTGACTTTGAGACAAGAAAAGAGAGAGAGATGGGATCGTTTGAGAATCTTTAATATCTTAATTATAAATTCTAAACAATCTACCAGGACTAACTCTGTGATGGATGAAAATGGATTTGGATGTTGTGTTGGTGCGTGTGTGTGTGTGTGTGTGTGTGTGTGTGTGTGGTTGGTTCAGACTCCTTAGGCTGACGTCATTGAATCTGGTAGTCTTTGTTATGACTAGATATCACGAGGCTTATAAAGTGATGACATGAGCCGCTATTTTGCCGTGTACGTACCCAGTGGGGAGTCTCCCAGTTAGATCAGGAAATGCCAGGTCCAAGAACCTCGGATGTGTACTGGAGCTGTCGAAGCAGCGATCGCAGCACGTCAAAGCCCGTCTGAAGGGTCGACCCCGGTACCGATCGGCAGTGTTAGCAGTTGCTCTTATTTTGAAAGGATGTCGTCTGGTTGTTAAACGACGAAAATCTCCAACTTCACAGTTCTTAGTTTAAAGAAGAAAACACATCTGGCCAGTCTGTGCTTCTCTTTGGGATGACGGTGAATAGACCTGAAGTCAAAATGGAACTGAGCTTGAAATGGCGTTGCCTTGTTTTATATCTCTGAATTGTTGATAAGTTTTGGTACAGTGGATTGGACACTTTAAGTCAACAAGCCAGATTCTCCTGCGGCGGCCGAAAGCTCTGATTGGTTGGAACAATGTGTCATGCGTTTCTACGGAGATGAGGATCAGTATGTCTGTGCAGTAGTCCTGTTTTCATTAAACACATAATCTTTTTTCCACAGATCATTCACTACCATCAGTACTTGTGTGTATAAACTGAACATAATTAGGTACATCTATGTTTCAGGGTTTCGTACGACCCTGGCAGATATCCACGCTACATCCCAGAGGCTTACTGCCTGTGTAAGGGCTGCCTGCTCGGGGTAGAGGGCGAGCGGTACCGCAGCACTCCAGTCTACGCTCCATCTGTCATTCTAAAGAGAACGGGATCCTGTGTGGGTGGACGCTACTCCTACTCGGAAATCTATGTCTCTGTGGCTGTGGGATGCACCTGTGTGTCTCAGGATGAGAAGCATGGAGACAGTCTGAGCAGCCTAGAGGGAGGAGAACCCAAAGCCAGACCAATCCATTCTGCAGGCGGGAAAGCACGAAGGAGACTGAGGGACGTGCACCTCTCCCATTCTGTTGTTTAAAGTTAGAATGTTCATTTGAAAAACAGACCTTTAACGCCGGATCACAAGAGCGACGATGACCATGAATGTATGGTTATACGGGAGTGTCCAAAGCCCGTGGATCTTTTCAGACTGCATGGTAGAGAATGAACTGTGTTCACCATCAGGTTTTATTGCCATATGTGTGAGAAACATTAGGAAGCTGCTGCAGTAGTTGGTGCCCAAAAATAAATTATATTTTATATAAGTAATAAAATAATAATATAGGGAGGCAATGGCTCTTTTATACAAGACAGTGTAGCTGCTGGTCAGAGCACAGCAGTTCAAGGACAACACAGGGTCATGTGACGTCCTAGGACTGTCTTTCATTAGTCCAACAGCAGAGGGGAGTCATGGGAACTCAGGCTCTTTTAAGCACACATCACTCCTATTCTGATGTCTCTGCACTGGTTACCCGTTAACTTTAGAGTTCATTTTAGAGTCCTGACTAGAACTTTCAGGGCTGTACATGGTCAAGCTCCTCCCTATATTACTGAACTGTTAAAGCCTTATGCTCCAACCCGAGCCCTCAGGTCCACCCACCAGAACCTTCTAGAAGTCCCAAAGACCAGATAAAAAAGTCAAGGTGATCTCTCCTTCCAGACTTTTGCACCCCGACTTTGGAATGATCTTCCTTTATTCTTACGCAGCATTGACAGTCTGGACACTTTAAAAAAACAGCTAAAGACCCTTTTATTTAAAGCTGCTTTTACCTAAATCTTTTATTTTCTTATTTTTAACTCTAATTTTAACGGCTCGGCTCGCTGAGATGAACCGGCTCTTTCTCCTCTCTGTGAAACGTCTCCCCAGCCTCATTAGCATCTACAGAAGGGATTCATCAGTAAACCAAACATGTCAGATGTGTCCATGATCTAACCTGCTGGAAGCAGACTGCAGCACCGGGTATGTCAGCTGAACAGCTGACAGCTGTGATATTGTGGCTACAGAGGGGGTGTGGTCTGAGTGACTTGCCTTCAACCCTGTAAAAGCTCATTTTAGCACAGACTGACTCAAGAACATGATTTAATAACATGATAAAGTTGCATCGTATCCCTTTAAATACCTTCTAACGGTCCAACACCAAACAGAGCAACAGAGCTCATTCAAATAACAAAAATAAACTAAGGAAGTTATTTATAGACTTAACTATTTACAGGTAAAAGGAAACTGTTCTTGTGGTGAGAGGTTCTGGTCTGAATGGATCGGAGCCTCCTACCAGACTGTGTCCAGGGTGAGACGGGTCGGCTGGTATCTGACCTGCACGCCTCAGTGTTCTGGAGGTGTACAGGTCCTGTATGGAGGGGAGTGTGTAGCCAATGACCTTCTCAGGATAAATTAAATAAGAGAAAATAAAATTATAGTTGTTAATACCTAAAATAATTCTCTGTGCTAGGGTCAAAGACTATGGGCGGGCCCAAGTACTGAGATGATGTCACCAGTTTCAGGATTTCTCCACCAATGATTGGGGAAGAGGGGTCACCTCGTTCATCTTCTCCACATCGTTGGTCATTGCTCATCCACCACCTATGGACTCATCGTTATTAGAGACAAACCAACAAAGCAGTGTCCTGTGTGGACATCACATCAGGACCTCCAGGACACCTCACAGAATAATCATATAAAGAATGTTTCGAGGAGTGGTCAGGACACAACCTGGTGGAGCTCCAGTGTTCATTACAGTGATGGAAGAGCAAATACAGATGTGGACATAATTGTTGGTACCCTTTAGTCAATGAAAGGAAAAACTCACAATAGTCCCAGAAATGCCTTGGATCAAACAGTTCCTGTAACTGTCAATGAGACTTCTACACCTCTCAGCAGGTATTTTGGCCCACTCCTCAAGAGCAAACCACTCCCGTTGACTCAGCTTTGAAGAGTGCCTTTTCCAGACAGCATGCACCCCCCCCCCCCCATCCCTGGACACTGGGCTTTTGAAATCAGAAGAGTGGTCCTTTTTATTACAGGGAAATTTAATACACTTTGCATGAGCTGAGAGACAAGAGAAGAGAGAGAGACCTCAGAACGTTTAAGCAAAATTTATTATCTAAATTATTTTAAACAGTTTAACAGGACAAACTCTCTAGTGGAATGGAATGTGAGATGGAGTGTGTGTTGGTGCGATGTCAATTCAGAACCTCCGTTCTGGAGAAGCGAGTCTGAGTGGGAGATGATGTTTTGCTCCTAACTGATCAACGTTTGAACCTTGGTCAGAAAACACATGAGATGCTATCTGTGCCGTTCTACATTACCCGTCAGGGACTCCCGTCTTAGATCAGGCTGCCAGGTCCACGGACCCTCCTCTGTACTGGAGCCGACGAAACAGCGTCCTCAGCACGACAAACCAGTCTATGGATAGTCTCCAGGTAAAAATGGCAGGTGTTTCACAGCGTCAGCGAGTTCAGCTTTTATTCTGAAGGAACCGTTGTTTTGTTGATAACAACAACAGGATTTCCCAGCTTGACAGTTCTCAGCTTAAAAGTAAAAAGTACAGATGGCCGGTCCGTACTCCACTTAGCAATGATGAACATCAGAGGATCTTGAGAGCTGGCTGAATGCTGAACTCAAAATGGCGTTGTTCTGACTTATTAATCTTGATGTTTATTATTTTGGACGAATCACAGCTGACAGATTAAATAAACACCACAGAGACTCTGTCATGCTTCAGAGTGGAGGTTCTGATTGGATTTGCGACCGGAATGTGTATCAGCTGACTAGTGGCTACCATACGTCATTTCCTTATTAAATATTAATCATAACATTGTGATTTAACAGATCGGTCACATGGTTATTATTGACTAACAGTTGTTGTGATTAGCTTCATTAAAATAGAGTTCTTTGATTAATTAAAAGAAAAGAGTTCATTCTTCGTTCTTCTGTCTTCACTGCTGGAATGTAAACATTAGAAGTGAATGCATGACCTTGGCTGTTTCATGCACTCTGACACTGTGTCAAACAGAACAGCTGTTAGAGGGGAGAAATGGTTCCTTCATCACGTTACATATGAAAGTTGCTAAAGTTATTCCCATTTACAAAACCGGTGAAAGGCATCGTTTTACAAACTATAGACCAGTGTCGATACTCTCCCAGTTCTCTAAGATACTGGAAAAACTGTTCATAAAAAGATTTGACAGTTTTGTGGAAAAATATGAATTACTGACAGATAGCCAATTTGGGTTCAGAAGCAACAGATCAACAGCTTTGGCATTGATAGATTTAATGGAAAAGATAACAGACTGTATGGATAATAAGAGGTATGCACTCAGAGTTTTTTTAGACCTAAAAAAGGCGTTCGATACTGTTAATCATGAAATTCAATTAAAAAATTGGAAAGGTACGGGTTTAGGGGAATGGTTGGGGACTGGTTAAAAAGCGATGTGGGGAATAGGAAACAATATGTACAAATAAATTAATACAATTCAGTTCAATTCAATTCAAAAATACTTTATTGATCCCAGAGGGAAATTGATTGATGTAGTAGCTCAGAATAATAATAATAATCAAGTCATCAAAGAGTTATTGTATATTACAATGGCTGTTGGCAGGAAGGATCTCCAGTAGCGGTCAGTGTTGCAGCCAAACTGAAGAAGCCTCTGACTGAAGACACTCTTCCGTTGTCGGACAGTCTTGTGAAGAGGATGCTCAGGGTTGTCCATCATGTTCTTGATTCTCTGGAGACTCCTTCTTTGCATTATCTCCTCCAGTGGTTCCACAGTCGTCCCCAGAACAGAACCAGCCTTTTTTATTAGGCTGTTGAGCCTTTTCAGGTCCCTGCTTCTGATGCTGCTACCCCAACAGACGATGGCTGAAGAGATTACACTCTCAACAACAGACTTGTAGAAGATGTGCAGCATCTTGCTACAGACATTGAAGGACCTAAGCGTCCTCAAGAAGTGCAGTCTGCTGTGTGCCTTCTTTGAAACGGCTTCGCTGTTCTTTCTCCAGTCCAGTCTGTTGTCCAGGTGAACTCCAAGGTATTTGTATTCCTCAACCACCTCCACTTCTTCTCCCATGATGGAAACAGTGTTTGACTCCACCCTGTTTCTTCTGAAGTCTAAAATCATCTCCTTTGTTTTGTTCACGTTCAAGGTCAGATGATTGTTTCCACACCATGCCACAAAGCGCTCCACCAGCTCTCTGTACTCAACTTCCTGTCCATCTCTGATACACCCGACAACTGCAGAGTCATCTGAGTATTTCTGTAGATGACAGGTCTCTGATTAATAAATTATCATTGAATCTAGATAAAACCAGATTTATGTTATTTGGTAACCAAAAGAAAAACATCAAAATTGAAATTTGTGTGGATAATGTATATTTAGAAAGAGTAAAAAAAATAAAATTTCTTGGTGTGATCATTGACCATAAGCTCTGTTGGAAGCCACACAGTACTTATGTTCGGGGGCAATTAGCACGGGTCGTTGCCATCCTGGGGAAAGCAAAGAAGATGTTGGATCAGAAAGCCCTGCACATATTACCGTAATTTCCGGACCATAAAGCGCACCTCAATAAAAGCCGCACCAACAACAAAAAAAAAAGGTTTTCTACACACATACGCCTCACGCGAATACAAGCCGCGGCACAGCAGCCACATGCAGGTCTCTGACGCACAGCGCATATATGGCCATAACATAAGATAATTAGACAGAAAGATGCTACACGGAGGTTTTTCGTTGTTGTTTTAATTCAACAAAACAAATTTTAAACACGGGTGGACGTGCCTGCAAGTTTAGAAAAGAAAACAGCACTGATAGCATTCATATTTCTGGATGGTTATAAAATAAAAACAGCACTGACACGTTATTACCAAGCCCCCACAATGCCGCTCAAAAATTGAGGCCAACCCGGAAGTACCAAAAATTGCAGTTCCGCCCTCATCCACTAGGGGCTGGTGTCAGAAGCGAGCAAATCCTCATTGACTCCCATGTTAAAAATACCAATTTCACAGCAGAAATAAACATGTTTACAGCCTGGTACCAAAACATGTTTTTGGTTTAAATGATCTAGTTTACACTCATGACAACTCTGAGGGGGGTGAATTTTTTCTCACTCTTCTGTTTAAGTGTATTAAAAGCCTAAAATTCTGTATAATTAATGAGCATCAGACCCACGTGACCACAGAGCTAGCTCCGTGGAAAGGCCTCAGTAGAGCCTCGGTCTGGCTTGGAAACTGTTTCGGGAATTTGAATCTCTGTGTTTGTGTATTCTTGTTTGGATATTATTTGTGCAATTGTTGGACAAAATGACTTGCTGTGGCATTAATTGCACTAATAGAGCGTCCAAGGATTCTCCACTTCATTTTTTTCGGTAAGTAAAATTATATTTATGTATTTTAGGGTTACCCTGCCGAGCTGAGCTTAGATTTTAACATGTACTGTTTAACCATGAAATTTAAATGTAATAGGGTAAAACCCAGTGCATTTAACATAATGCTGAACTTTAGAAAATGGGTTGAAATATAACATGTTGGTGGAGCTGGGTTCCAACTATCGGCTTGTGGAGCTCTTGGGAGACCAATGTTTTCCACCGTTTCTCCCCTCCCCGCAGCTCAGCACATCTCTGTCTGCTGCGCAGGCTGCCAGCTTTCAGCAGCTTTTGGGAGACCTCTGTGTTCCACCCGGTTTTACCCAGCGGTCAGCCCGGCCTATCTCTGACTCAGAAGCTCTGATGTTGTGCACAGTTAACTCCGGTTGTAGCTAGGTTGCTACATCCGTTAGCTTAGCTCCCACCTCCGCGTTAGCTTTTGGTTAGCTTCAGGTTAGCTTGTAGCTAGTTCGACCGGGTGTCGTCAGTTGATCCCAGCCTTACAGCCCCACCCTCAGCTCCACCTCTCTTCCCTTTTATGGAATTGTCTGGGCTTGACGGAACCTGTGACACGGTCAAAATGGCGGTGGTGGCCACCTCCCATTAGTCTCAAAAACGTGTTACTGGAGCCAATGGAAACCCATTGTCCAATATTTATAAGTTGATGGTTATTACTGGTAATTTGCATGCATGTTTAGAAGAAAAGAACAATGCTGACACAGCATTAATAAGCCCTGGATGATTAGAAAATAAAAACTGCACACAACACATGCCTGGTTAGTAAATAAAACACTTGCCTACCAGAAAAATTCATTCACTCTCATCTTCCTCTTGCGCACTAAAGCCATTAAAGTCCTCTTCTTCAGTGTCGGAGTTGAACAGCCTCAGAAGAGCTTCGTCACATACCTTTTCTGTGGCGATGTCCGTGTCGCTGTCCGTGTTGCTGTCATCATCCCCGGGTGAAGCTGGCTTGAATGAGTTCTTCCCACTGCCGTCTCCAGCGCCAAACCATGGATTCATTCATTCATGCCAAGGTTACGTGCGGCAGCACTGTTTCCCTCCTTTACTGCCAGATTGATGGCCTTCAACTTAAATGCGGCGTTATATGAACTCATACGTGTAGTTACCATGATGAGGGGGTATGGATTTGAAAATAATTCTTCGTTGTGCCGGCTGCCTGCATGAAAAATGAGCACTTTCTTCGATTTCCACTTTTGACTTCCACCTGTTTCACTTTCTGCTAAATCGCCCCCTGGCAGGTGAAGGAAAATCTTCAGTAAAGCCGCACCTCATTATAAGCCGCATGGTTCAAAGCGTGGGAAAAAAGTAGCGGCTTATAGTCCGGAAAATACGGTATACTGTGCTTTACTACTGCCATATATGAGTTACTGTGTAGAGGTCTGGGGAAACACATGCAAAAGTAACATACAGATGATAACTGTAATACAGAAAAAGGCCATTAGAATAATAAATAATGTGGGGTACAGGGACCATACAAATGCACTCTTTGTCGAAATGCAAGCTATTAAATTCCAAGACTTGGTGAAGTTCAAATAATGTATAAAGTAAGAAATAAATTGCTTCCAAAAGAAATCTGTTTATTGTTCAAAGAAAGAGAAGGTGGGTATAACTTAAGAGGGAAATGGGATGTAAAAATGTAAAGTGCTAGTACAACTTTAAAAACTATGTCAATCGCAATTGCAGGAGTTAAATTATGGAACAGTCTAACAGAAGAGATAAAAGAAAGTAAAAACATTAACCAGTTTAAAGTAAAATATAAAAACCTAATTTTATATAAGTATAAGAATGAAGAAAACAGGGTTAACCCAGGACGGTAAATGTGGCTGGTTATGCTGTTGTGCTTCTTTTTCGGTGTTTTTTGGTTTGTTTGTTTTTTCTTTTTTTCTCCATAACTGGTGAATCTGCAAATTTACACATTCTCTGTTTTCCATATT